CATACATGGCTGACATTGCAACAGACTGGCTTACGCGGCATGTCAGGAAACAAGGGCGCTGTTGGCATTCGTCTGGATTATTACGACACGAGCTTCTGTTTCATTACCGCTCACCTGGCGGCAGGCCACGCTAACGTCGACGAGCGAAACAAAGACTACCAGACAATCTCTCAGGGTCTTCACTTCTTAAGAGGAAAGACAATAGATAGCCACGAGTACGCATTTTTCGTGCCTTCTTTGCAGTCTGGCCATTAACATCTACGCCAGTCAAGTCATATGGCTTGCGGATACCAATTACCGAATTGATTTGGACAATGACACCGTTCGGGAGCAGGCTACCAGTGCCGACTTTGATGCTTTGTTGGGTGCCGATCAGGTAAGGAATCAATGGGACGCAGTGCGCATGTATCTTCGTGCTTATATGTGTGCGAAGTTGAAGGAAGCTATGCGATCGGGCGCTGCGTTCGATGGGTACCTGGAAGGGCCCATCCTGTTCAAGCCAACCTATCGCTTCGATCTGTTTTCGGATAACTATGATACAAGTGAAAAGATGAGAATACCTGCTTGGACCGGTGCGCATATTTACTGATCGTCAGGAAGTCACTGATCGCACCTAGACCGCGTCCTATATCGGGGTGAAGGCTTGGACGTTACGGTCTATGCATGTGCAAACCTCAAGAGTTCCGATCACAGACCAGGTAGATGGGCCGGCCTTTTGAAAACAACGAGCCTTATTCCCCTCTCATAGTATATGCTTTGTTTCGATCCCCAATTCGTATTGTAGATGGCGTCAAACGCGACGCGCTATCGCGGATTATGCTGGATACGATCCTATCGCGCAAGCCGGGTGAAAAGTTGGAAGATAAGCTGGCCAAGGTAGCACTGGAAGAGCTTGTAGACTGTGCGCACGGCCCTGTTCTCTTCAAACTTTTATTGATTCTTCCCGAGTAGTGCCACCCCCGAGCTCCGAGAAAAATGCTTGGTGGGACCAGCCGGGTGCGTGAGACCATCGGTTTTGCTCTCATCATCTCACTTATCACGACAGAGCACCCGGGAGGTGTCTTCTCAATCAATATCGAGACTCCCAATAGGCACGCGCCGAAAAACCCGTGGGACTCTCCATCTTCAATACCCATCACGTCACCATCATCATCCGACGAGGACCTCTATTCCGCTACAAGACTGGAGCCCGTCCCTGACATCGACGTGGAAGCCACAGACTCTACCAAAAAGAGTCCGCCACCAATACCGCGAGAAACCAAGCCAAAACCAAAGCCGGGCTTGCAGAGGGATATGAAACAATAATTATTGATGTACTAGTCGTACAAAATACAGTACACACATCGCAGCCCGTGCGGCCGATCGGTCAGATTAGTCCTTGCTTTTTGAGATCCTCGTAAGTTTTTCGGTTATAAACGTTGCCTTCACTGTCCTCGAGTTCCTCTGTCGTCTCAAGTTGGGATATTTCTGTCCTCCCCTCCTGCTTGAGTTTCTCGGCCACTATTCGAACTGTTAGAAAAAAGGATGTCCATGAAGGGAAAGTGCTTTACATGACAATGCATCCTCAATTTTTGTAATTTCATGAAAGTGTTTTGTATTTGGCAGACCCAAAGCGCGCATTCCAAAAGCGTGTCGTGATTCTTGGAAATGGCGTTCGAAGTTTTTCCTGCACGATTTATGTTCCCCAAGAGTGCAAAGCCAAGAAAAGTCTAGACGTACCTGCCCATATACACGTGATCTGAACAGATTTCACAGCGATATTCAACACCCAGTCCGTGAAGCTTGTAAAGCCAATATGGAATTGGTTTTCCGTCCCACCCTAACGGTAGCTTCAGTGGATTGTAAATTCGCTCTTCCTCATCCTCCTCTTCGACCGGAGCAGTGGAAGCAGCAGGAGCAGCAGGTTGAGGTTCCGTGAGCTCCAGCTCACGCTCACGAGAGGTCAATGCAAACCGCCGTTCTACATTCGCTTTTGTATCCGAGATCACGGATTTCAAGGGCACGAGAAGAGAGGTGGTGAGGTATGTCAGCAAGGCGGGTCGATAGAATTTGGATTGGGTGGCAGCGGGAGAGGCTTTTCCGTTCTCATCGACCTGATCAGGTCCATTGGGGTTGACGGGTGGTTCGGGTGCAGCAGCCAGCCGTTCTGTAGCTTTTACGTGCTTCTTCGACGTCAGGTGGGCGTCATAAACGGTTTGTTTTGAGTAAAGTTTCTGACAAGCAGCGCACCATATGCCGTCGGTGTGGCCGTTTTCAGATTTACCGTTTTGAGGTGCTATTGGCGTTTCCCATTCTTTGGACAGGGTACTTCCCCATAACGCTTCGAATTCCTCCGTAGCCTTCTCTTGCAGGCCTTCCACATCTGTGAGCGGCTGTGTCCGTTTTGTGAATGATAAGAGGTACGAGTGGAGCGCTGCAATATATCTGACTGTCACGTCAATAACATTTGAGCGAAATAGGACAGAAACAGTCCTGACGTTTCGTAGTCTTTATTCCGTCGAATTTCTTTCGGCAGATCAGAGTGCACCAGGCTATCGGACGCAGCAAGGACGTCGAGATATTGAAGATAGGGTAGGCGTTTTTTGAGGTTTCGCAGATTATTGTAGGCAGAATGATTGGTATGAAGATCAAGGTATCGACCGAAAAACTCCTCGCCCGAAAACAAGAGTGACATCGCTAGCAACGTTCAATGAGCCACAAATAGAAATTTAGAGGGTGAATTCAACGCAACGGTCTTCTTCTTCAACATCGTCATCTCCCTCTCCTGTATATGAGTCTTCGAGAAGGGCTGCGATTTCGATTTCGACACCTCCTACGACCGAATCAGGGTATTTCCTGTAATGGTCCTTAATCTTCACCAACCGCGCATAGAAATCGGACAGGTCGTCCTGCTGCGCGGGTGCGGAAAGGAGATCTATCTCTGCTTTACGTGCATCGTCTTTGTATTGGTTGAGCAACAGAAGGTGGCGAGCTTGGATCCTGTCTAGGATTTGAGCGGCTTTCTGTTGGTTGGCCAAGCTGTCCTTTTGCGACGAAGGGTTCCTAGCCAACACATCTGTCAGGGCACGCTCCAGGCGTTCGACATCTTCGTGTGTCTGTCGCTGCACTTCGAGGACACTATCCATGGGTTCGTTTCAGCCTCGAAAGTTGGGTTCAAAGTCCGCCTACCGCTCACCCAGAAACTTCAAACTTGACAATGTCTGGTATCAAGGCAGGTGATGACAAGCTGGTACGTCTCTTCCAGAGTATAGGCCAAGGGCGTTCTCTAATTCAGCCCTGATCAGGTTTTTGAGTCCAGCGAGGCCGTCCAAGTTGTCTCAACCTTTGATGATTTGGGTCTGAAAGAAGACCTTCTCCGCGGAATCTATGCCTACAGTCAGTGTTCGTGCCTATGCCTCTCGTTCCATTCTCATTTGCTTTCAAGACTTCGAAAAACCTTCTGCTATCCAGCAGCGAGCTATCATACCCATCATGCAGGGTCGAGATGTCATTGCCCAGGCGCAGTCTGGCACTGGTAAAACCGCCACCTTCTCGATTTCCGTCCTTCAATCCATCGATGTCACTGTGCGTGATACTCAAGCACTGATTCTGTCCCCGACCCGCGAGTTGGCGACCCAAATTCAATCAGTCGTTCTCGCACTCGGCGACTACATGAATGTGCAGTGCCATGCATGCATCGGAGGGACCTCAATAGGAGAAGACATCCGAAAGCTCGATTATGGCCAACACGTCGTCTCTGGCACCCCGGGTCGTGTCTTCGACATGATCAAGCGACGAAATCTCCGCACTAGGAACATCAAGATGCTCGTTCTGGACGAGGCCGATGAACTGCTGAACAAGGGTTTCAAAGATCAAATATACGACGTCTATCGATACCTCCCCCCCGCCACCCAGGTCGTTTTGTTGAGCGCCACTCTTCCTTATGATGTTCTCGAAATGACGACGAAATTCATGACCGACCCGGTCCGCATCCTCGTAAAGCGTGATGAGTTGACCCTCGAAGGCATCAAACAATTTTTCGTGTCGGTAGAGAAGGAGGATTGGAAATTTGATACGCTCTGCGATCTCTACGATACCCTGACAATCACGCAAGCCGTCATCTTCTGCAATACCAGACGAAAGGTCAGTGGCCTTCTTACGCTATGCTATCTGCAACTCACATTTCGAAGGTCGACTGGCTGACAGAAAAGATGCGAGCAGCGAACTTCACTGTCTCTTCGATGCATGGTGAGATGGTGCAGAAGGAACGCGATACTATTATGTCTGAATTCCGTGGTGGCTCTTCGTACGTTCTTTTTATATGTGTTGGTATCAGTCTTTGATACTATCGCAGACGAGTCCTTATCACCACCGACGTCTGGGCCCGAGGCATCGATGTACAACAGGTGTCCCTAGTCATCAATTACGACTTACCTGCGTATGTACTGCTTTACCTATTTTCGCCGATCGATGTGATCTAATGTCTATCAGTAATCGTGAAAATTACATCCATCGCATCGGTCGATCAGGACGATTTGGACGCAAGGGCGTCGCAATCAACGTAAATCCTTTTCTTTCTCTCTCTTTGCGCGTCCTTTGATACTAACTTCGAGTGAAGTTTGTTACCGTTGAGGACGTGCGCATCCTACGTGATATTGGTACGAATTACCTGGCTTCATCCCTCACGAAGTATTGACATATACCCCTTTCGTTCAGAACAATTCTACAGTACCCAGATCGTCAGTCGATTTCATCCTGCATCCCGTCATAACATATCTGACGAACTACACAGGACGAAATGCCAGTAAACGCAGCGGAACTTATATAACACTTTCAGTTTATGTATAGGCCCTTGTGTGCATGTTCTTTTGGCTTTGTTGTGCTGTACTTGTATAAAAATAATTCTAACTAAAATATGACACGACGTTGCCACAAATACTATCTGTGTCTCAGAATGAATGATGACTCACCAGTCATACGCGTGCTTCAACAGAAAGGATGGCAAGCCAAAAAGAACACAATACCACCGGCGAGACTCGAACTCGCAATCTCACGCTGTTCGCATGATAGAAGGCGTGCGCCTTAACCATTAGGCCACGGAGGCTTTTCGGGGTTGTCCTTATGTTTGTACATAGACTGGACCGTGTACTCTCACGATTGAACCGGATCCCAATAAACAAATGATGTGTAGAATAGTACGTGTACATGTTAGTAAGTCTATGGATACAGTGCATAATTTATCGTATGAGACATAAACGTATGCGTGCTGAATATCAAATCCCGTCCGATATGTGATGAATCCAAATGCTAAGGTGAGTGAACGAATGTCAGTGGAGGCGAGAGGCGTGCAAGCGGCTATCTTTTTCGGAGTTGTTCGCGTAATTTGGCATTTTCAGTTTGAGCCAAATTTAACTCGTCAAGCAAAGTGACTCTCTGAATTTGTTCAGAGTTGATCATTCTCTCTCGCTCATCGTCGGCTTCCTTGAGAGACTTTCGAAGTTCGGCGATCTGTGCTTCCATTCTGACACGGACTGCTTCAGGTTCCGCTGCGAGCTTCAAAGCCTGAGCGCTGAGCGCATTGTTTGCTTCTTGCAGATGTCCTATCTGCGCTGCTTGATCTGCAGCTCGCATTTCCAATTCTCGGCGACCCTCGCGGGCCTCCTCGAGGGCTTCTTGCAGGTTCTGGATTTCTTGTGCCCTGGACGAGTGATCAGTCTGTTTCTGCGGCTTTATGTCTGCACTGACGCACCTTAGGTCATTAGTGGTATTACGCTCCTGCAAGGTTTTGACCTGCTTCTGATAGGTTTCCAACGCAGCACTGCTATCCTGAGCCAACTTTTGAGCGCGTTCAGCGTTGGTCTTTAACAACTCGTGGCTCTGAGCGAACCGGATCAATCGTTCGATCAATGCTCGATCGTCTGCAATCAAGGCTTGAACTCGGGAAACGAACGTCTCCAACGAGAATTCGTCGAGTGTCTGAGACCTTGATGTTGCACTCCGCGGGTCATAGAGACTTTTCAGCGACCGTACGTCCAAGTCAGAAATAGAAATAGCGGCGACCGAGCTCGAAGGCGAGTGGAAATGATTGGATTTGGATTTGGTAGGCGATCGTGCGTTCAATTTGAGTGCACGAGATTCGGGTGAGGGCAGCACCATCCACAACGACCTCAAGGAAGCCATGACTTGAGAATGGTCCTGCGGGTCGGCCAGGGACACAATAGAGTTTTTGGAAGTCGGTGGCGTGCTTAGTTCCAAGATAAGATCGGATTGTGCCTGTCAAAAGTAAGAACACCGCACAGCCAAACGTGAAGTTGATGGAATCACCTTCAACTTGTCCTCAAGTTGTCTCAAATCGCTCTGAGTCCGTTCTCGTTGAATCCGCGAGTCTTCAAGCTCTTGAAACAATTTATCCCGTGCCTCCCATGAGCTTCGCGACTCCATCTCCAGTCTGTTCTTAGCTACCCGTAGATCCTCCACTTCCTTGTCCATCATCGCCATATGAGCCGTGAGGGAATCTGCTAGATTCTGCAATGTTAATTGGGGAGAGATCAACTCGACCTTGTGGGTCCTGAACACATCCCACAGCGTGTTTTTGGCGTTCTCGATTTCCACTTTCACCATCTCCAACTCAAGTTGCAGTTTTGAGATCTCGTCTGACTTCTGTCGGCTAGTTTCTTCATAGTTTTTCTGCAGTGCAGTCAACTGAATGGAAGAGGACTCGCCCAACCTCGCAAGCTCGGCAGTCATAACCTCTCTTTCGCGAAGCCAAATCTCCTTTTCCAACTGGAAGGCAGGAGAAATATTCTCCTTGCTGCGAAGGTCCCCGAGATTTTGTTCCAGCTCTGATATGTGTCGTCGACTCGCCTCGGCTTCTCGCTGAGTCTCCTTGTGAGCAAGATGCATGGCTTCCTTCTCTTTTTGCAGACTCTCGATTTGCCTCTCCAAATCCACCAGTCGCTCGACCTGTGCCTCCAAGGCACCGATCTTCTCCTCTGCACTTTGTAAATCCATGGTCATGGTCGTCTCCAGCTGTGAGTTTTCCAGTCTCATGTGGGCCAGTTCTCGACTCAAATCGGCTTGAACCTTCTTTTCAGCCTGGAGAGACTGAGTGAGAGATTTCAGCTTCTTTGCTGTCGACTCAGGACCAAGGGGCACAAATGCATCCTCGTGACCAGCATATAGATGAGCACCCTCAAAACGTCGCTTGGCGGATGAGAGGCTGGTGGCGGATGATGCGGTACTAAGATCGTCGCTTTCTCTGCCAGGCGATGACCCGTGCTTACTCTCCATTCGCCTCAAGAAGTTGGACAAGACGGCGGTACGGTGACCAAGGATCGTCTTTTGGACCTCATTAGCTCTGGCGGAGACGCGCCAATACTCTCTCTGAGTCACAGTGAGTTTAAGATCGGCTGAAGCGACCTGTTCGGGAGATAGTTTTGACGCTGTTCCTCGAGGAGACTTTAAGCGACCGAGAGACAAGGTAGCTTCGCGCATTTTGGTCTCGAGCGCGAGCTTTTTCGAAATAGCTTGCAGCCGAGAAAGAAGAGTTTGCTGCTCCTATGAAAAGATCATTTTTAGGCAAAGGTATCATGCACGAGTTACGGAATACTCACTGCCTTGAGAGCATCCAAGTCGTCGGTGCCAAGCACTTCACAATCGCGACTGTCTACGATGGCTTCGCTGGCAAGAAGACTGAGAAGAAGGTCGTCTTTGCCAAAGACGGGGTCAGGAGGTGCAAAGTGGGGTCGAACACTGTCTGAATCACTCTGCCAGGGCTCTGGAGAGTGAACAAATGCATTTCGTCCATCTGATACGGAGCCGTTCACTGGTAACTGGGCGGAGGTTGTAGGTATGCTTGAAAGAGATGACGTATTGGTCGACAAGTCGCGCGAAGATGTAGGGGTATGTGTCTTTGGATGTTCAGTTGGTTGAATGGGTGTTTCTCTGACCAGAGGGGGAGCTGGAAGCGGTGGTTCTGAGACTTCTTCTCCGGGAGGCCAACTTGGACCTGGTGGTGGAAGAATCAGTGGCTCGGGCGTTGGGGGGAGGGAGGTGGCTTGGTTGAAAAAGCGACGGACGCCGTTCATGGCGATGGCGAAATATTTGGGAGCGAGAGCAGAGACCGAGCCGAAAGTATCACGAAGCGCATGAACGACACTGTCGCAGTACTCCTTCTTCGGCTTGCTTCCGTCTTGGGCACAATAACATCATAATCAGACTCGTCTAATATAACACATCTCGCTGGCGACGGCCATCGTGCAGCTCACAGATGAGGTACGCTCCATCGCGTTTTGTTGCTAAGGGCCACTGTTCCAACTTCGCACAGCTTTACCTTCAATTGGCCAAAATTTTCAGAACAATTTCACGCCGATGCCAAAGTTCTACTCGACGCAGCCCTCAACAAGGGCAACACACCTCCCATTATAGCCGACAGAATCGAAGTGGTTGAGCTTGAGATGGGCACCCAAGCAAGCACCCCGCCTGATCCATCTGCAACGCCTCTTACCTTTGCTACAGCCCCCCGAGCTGGAGATTCGTGATATCGGAGAGCTTACAGTCGATCAATTTCGGGGAATATTCAGGCTCACTTATTCCGGTAATGCACACATCGTATTGAGAACGAAAGTTCAGGTTAGCACCATCGGCAGTCATAGTCTTAATGCGGTCATCAACCGTGATCACAGGCAAACCCACTCAACCACAAACGAAACGATATTCATCTCATGTCTGGTTCCATGGGAATCTTAGCGGCCCATCAACCCTTGGTTGTTCCTATGAAACTACGCCTGTCGAATTTTAAACTATCCGCCTATGTCGTATTGGTGGTCTCTCGACAAAAGGGCATTACGCTAGTGTTCAAGACAGATCCCCTCCAGAATGTTGACGTCAACAGCACATTCGACTCCATCGCCGTCATCCAGAAATATATCCAGCGAGAGATAGAAGGACAGTTGCGAGATCTGTTCAGAGAAGACCTGCCGGGCATCATTCATAAACTCAGCCAGCGTTGGCTGGCTGCCCAATCGAGCAAAAAAATACGCGTGGACACCTCATATCCTGCTTTGAAGCACAAGGCGCCTCCACGAGAGAATATCGAAACCCAGTCGCTCCCAGACACGACCACTTATTCGATACCTTCGGTCTCAAACGTTCGATCGGCACCCCTCAGTATGCGTCCGTCATTAGAGCGCGGAATGCATTCTAGTAGGGCCTCCCTCGCTTCTCATGAGTCTCAGACCTCTGGCCATGCCCCTCAATCTGAGCCCCTCACTTTCCCCGAGCTCGAGAACTTCGACCCAACATATGGTCTGCGGCCAGATGACCTGCCGTCAAAATCAGGTTATAGTGGGCTAGCGCGCCTTTTTGATAGGCCGAAGGGTCTCGCCGAACTTGCAGAAGATGAAGCCCTCGATATCAGACAAGACGATCAACGATCGGGGTCCTTTGCCTTGGTCGATTGGGATGACGCCCTGTCCGATATTCCCAGCAGTCGCCATTCAGTCAGCGAAGAGTATGAAACTTTTCCTGCAGTGGGCGGAGGCGTCATTACTCGTCCCAGAGTCTTTCATTCGCAATCTCGTGTGCATTCTCCGACAGATGGCGCGCAGTCACCTCGCCTGCCTATCTACGGCCGGAGAAGTTCCAGTCTTCTAGATGCGGCGGCGTTTGGCACGTCAGGTCGCTCAACTTCTCTGCACAGTCTGGCCCCAGTTCATAACGGAGGCTTATACGGAGTGCCGCCTAGGAGGACTGCATCAGAGGATGGCTGGCCTGTTCGACCACACCATAGATCGACGTTGTCGTATGCTTCTGACCTCCCTTCCGAGATTGAATCCCAGGATGAGGATCAATCCTTATCTGCAACAAAAGCCCCTGGACGTTCTTCTTCGCACCCAGGGGGTAATCGGGCTGCCTCTCCTCCCCTCTCAATTGCTGATACCGCCCTCCAAACATATGAAATGTCAGCTGACCCTGATTCAGAGTCAGAGCCGAAAATCGTTCTTCGGCCAAATATCAATAGTACCGTTTCATATCTTTCTACCCTCAGCCACACATATCATACGCTTTCTCCTTATACGCGCTCCCTGAAGCATTTTACCGTAC